ATCTATCTATCTATCTATCTATCTATCTATCTATCTATCTATCTATCTATCTATCTATCTATCTATCTATCTATCTATCTTTGTGGTACATATTTTTTAATAGCAGGGTGTATGTGATCATTTAATGAAGCTGCCACACTCCATAAACCCCACCCCCACACTTAGGAAGCCATCTTAGTAGACATCTAAAAATTTGAACTGGGAGTGAGATACAGGGAGGGCTGCATTTTGAGGCCTTGGGGAGATAGCCATAAATCCATACAATGGCAGAGGCATCGCTTGGAAAAGTGATATATTACATCTTCATTCCTTTGAGAATATCCCTTATTATATTGAGATCCATTATATACACCCATTATCTGTGCTTTGCCGTTTGCCTTCTCTTACTGGAAATTTTTGTTCTGATGTTGCCAAAGGGCGGGGCATAGAAAGCTGGAGTCCAGCAGAAAAAAAACATGCCCCTCCTTTCAATATCAGGTGGCTAACTACCAGGGATATGTACAGTAGCTGACCATCTGTATGCATTACAGTGCTGGGGGAATCAATAACAATGCTGTGTGATGTATTAGTATCTGACAGACCTCCCTTTTAAGTTGCAATTGGTTGGAAGCTCTCCTTGGGCTCCTTTGGGTATTGCACAAAGAATTTCAGTTTATAAGACCAAGAGCTCTTTCAAGTATGAAACGGAAATGAAGTATTCCTCTGTTCTTAGGGCAGAAGAGGCTTTGCTAGAGTGACAGGCCATTTTTTCATCCTGTTCTGGAAAGCCTTTTCTGGCTTTGCTGATACAAAGTTTTGAGAAAATGAAAGCCAAACCATCTCCTTCCCAATCGCAGAAAAGGATGTACAAGTGCAAGCAAATGTTCTGGGCTATCTTTCCTCATGCCTGCTTCCTCTTTTCCCTAGTGGTCTATGCTCTGCTAGGCGCCCTCATGTTTTCTCACGTCGAAGGCAACAGAGAGAGCAATGAAAGTGCGGCATACAAGAATTTCATGTGGAGCCTTTGGAATCTCTCAAAAGATTTGTCAGGTATGTACGTAGCATTATTAAAGTTGATGGGCAGAATAATTTCCCTGGGTGGATGCCAGTCTTCATTTTTGTTCTGAATGCCTGAATTAGGCACCTGTGGCTCTATCACACATAAGAGATAGAGAACAAGAATTCCTACCTCTAAACCTCAAACCCAGCCCAGCCCACCGCTGAATGCTTGATAAATCAGTCTTTCTCATCTTATGCTTTGTGTCACTGGGCTGGGTCACATAGATATAGCCAGAACACAAAGTATTGTTCTGAGTTACATTGCAGCATCCATGTACAGTAAATTCCCAGTTCCCTACAAATTAAGCAGGAAGGTGTGTGTGTGTGTGTGTGTGTGTGTGTGTGTGTGTGTGTGTTGTTTTGAGTTAAGTAACATTTCAATGTTAGTGATGAATTTTATATATGTAAGATGTAATTTTCAACTATTTTCCATAATACTGCTCAATTTTTGTTGGGGTTATTATCACATCTCACTTTCTTATGAACAGAAAATGAGACCTCTAATGAGATATTTAAGGACAGAACACATAAACTGCTCAGCGATATTGACTTTGTGTGGTTTACTAATCCCAAGAAGAAATGGTCCTTCCTGGGCTCTCTCTTTTTCTGCTGCACGGTATTTACTACAGTGGGTAAGTATGATTTTTAAAAATACAGTACAATATTCAGTTTTATACTTGCTTGGCTGCTTGATCTCATGTGTACATGAAAAATCCCAAAGGGGATCCATGACCTCTTCATGTACCATATTAAGGGTACCCCCAAAGACATCATGTATTTAGAAATCTGGGCCTGCAATGCTATTCATGTATGGGTTACTCCCATTGAATTTCATCAGGCATGTTAATCAAATAATTTATTAAATATATATATCTTTCCGCAAAATGTAATGCTCCAAGCAGGCAATCTTAAATCCAGATAGTACAGGATTATAATTAAAACATTAAAACGCATTAGTTAAAAGCATCAGTGAAAAATATATCTATTAAAACATGGCAACAAAATATGTAAGGGAACTTTATCCATCAGATTAAATCTAATTCATCAGCAAGACTGCTTGAAAGCCAAAAGGCTGATAGCAAATTTGGAACCAGTCTGCCTTTCCTTGCCAGGGGGTTTCCAGAGATTAGCAATAGCTTCTGAGAAGGTCTTCTCTTTTACGTCTGTTAAATATGGCTTGAGCAGTGACAGGAGAGAAAGGTGGGACTCTCTCCGGGATTTTAAAGCCCAGAGAGGCTTGCATGAGAGAATGACGTCTTTCATGTTAGGCCTTTACAGGTCATAACCAGCACTCTCATTGTGCCCTAAAACAGACCTGCAGCCCCTGAAACTACTGCAACAATGGAGTCATGTTTGACCTCTATTGCACCCCTACCCCCAGCCTACTGCACTAACTGAAGTTTCCGCACATTTTTCAGTGGCAGCATTCGGCACAGTCATGACTCTCAACCAATAATCCACATACCAATTGTGGAACATAGGAGAAGACTAAGTGGGACACTATTTCCTACTATTTTTGTTTTGGAATACTATTGTGACTCCTTATTGCCAATATCTATTGTGCTTCTGTGGAATGGAAAGTCTCCTAGCATAATAAAGCAAGATCACATGCTTCGGTGTTGCCATTGTGCCAAATAGTGATTTCCCTGGAGAAATCCTGCTCTTTATGTATGCAATAGCAACACTTGTGTTAGTGCACAGTCCACTCGGCATTCCCCTTATCTTGCTTCATCAAATGCTTTCCCCCCATAATTCCCTGCTCTTTTTTAGGCCCTGTAAAAGCAAGGTTAATTTTCAGTGTCACTTTGCATAGTATGTGCAGTGTAACTGGTAAGAGCTTCTCAGTCAGATGTTTTCAATTAGTGCTGTTTTTGTTGTTTAGTTGTTAAGTCCTGTCTGAGTCTTCATGACCCCATGGACCAAAGCACACCAGGCCCTCCTATCTTCCACTGCTTCCCAGAGTTTCGTTCAATTCATGTTGGTAGCTTTGATGACACTGTCCAATCATCTCGTCCTCTGTCATCCCCTTCTACTCGTGCCCTCACACTACATCAGGGTCTTTTCCAGGGAGTCTTCTCTTCTCATGAGATGGCCAAAGTATTGGAGCCTCAGCTTCAGGATCTGTCCTTCCAGTAAGCACTCAGGGATGATTTCCTTCAGAATTGATAGTTTTGTTCTACTTGCAGTCCAGGGGACTCTCAAGAACCTCCTCCAGCACCACAGTTCAAAAGCATCAATTCTTCAGCGGTCAGCCTTCTTTATGGTCCATCTCTCACTTCCATACATCGCTACTGGAAAAAAACCATAGCTTTAAGTATGCGGACCTTTGTCGCCAAGGTGATGCCTCTGCTTTGTAAGATGCTGTCTAGGTTTGTCATCGTTTTCTTCCCAAGAAGCAGGCGTCTTTTAATTTCATGGCTGCTGTCACTATCTGCAGTGATCATGGAGCCCAAGAAAGTAAAATCTGTCACTGCTTCCATATCTTTCCCCTCTATTTGCCAGGAGGTGATGGGACCAGTGGCCATTATTTTTTTATGTTGAGCTTTTTTTTAAATTTTTGGCGCTAACCTCTTTCACACTTATTAATAGGTTCTTTAATTCCTCCTCTCTTTCTGCCATCAGAGGGGTATCATTTGTATATCTGAGATATTTGATATTTCTTCCAGCAATCTCAGTTCTGGCTTGGGATTCATCCAGTCCTGCCTTTCTCATGAGGTATTCTGCATATAAGTTAAATATGCAGGGGGACAGTATACAGCCTTGTCATACTCCACTCCCAATTGAACCAATCAGTTGTTCCATATCCAGTTCTGTTACTTCCTGTCCCACATATAGATTTCTCAGGAGATAGATAAGGTGGTCAGGTACTCCCATTCCTTTAAGGACTTGCCATAGTTTGCAGTGGTCCACACATTCAAAGGCGTTTGCATAGTCAATGAAGAAGAAGTAGATTTTTTTTGGAACTCTCTGGCTTTCTCCATAATCCAGCGCATGTTAGCAATTTGGTCTCTGGTTCCTCTGCCCCTTTGAAATCCAGTTTCTACTTCTGGGAGTTCTCGGTCCACATACTGCTGAAGCCTACCTTGTAGGAGTTTGACCATAACCTTGCTAGCATGTGAAATGAGTGGAATTGTACGGTAGTTGGAGCATTCTTTGGCGCTGCCCTTCTTTGGGATTGGGATGTAGACTATTCTTTTCCAATCCTCTGGCCACTGCTGAGTTTTCCAAACTTGCTGGCATATGGAGTGTAGCACCTCAACAGCATCATCTTTAAATAGTTCAACTGGAATGCCATCACCTCCATTGGTCTTGTTAGCCATGCTTTCTAAGGCCCACTTGACTTCAGTCTCCAGGATGTCTGGCTAAAGCTCAGCAATCACACTATATGGGTTGTCTGGGATATCCATATCTTTCTGGTATAATTCCTCTGTGTATTCTTGCCAGCTCTTCTTGATGTCTTATGCTTCTGTGAGGTCCCTACCATTTTTGTCCGTTATCATGTCCATCTTTGCACAAAATCTTCCTTTAATATCTTCAATTTTCTTGAACAGATCTCTGGTTTTCCCGTTCTATTCTTTTCCTCTATTTTTTTGCACTGTTCATTTAAGAAGGCCCTCTTGTCTCTCCTTGCTATTCTTTGGAAGTCTGCATTCAATTTTCTGTAACTTTCCCTATCTCCCTTGCATTTTGTTTCCCTTCTCTTCTCTGCTATTTGTAAGGCCTCATTGGACAGCCACTTTGCTTTCTTGCATTTCCTTTTCTTTGGGATGGTTTTTGTGGCTGCCCCCTGTACAAAGTTACGAGCATCCATCCATAGTTCTTCAGGCACTATGCCCACCAAATCTAGTTCCTTAAATCTGTTCTTCACTTCCACTGTGTATTCATAAGGGATTTGATTTAGATTATACGTGACTATCCCAGTGGTTTTTCCTAGTTTCTTCAGTTTAAGCTTGGGTTTTGCTATAAGAAGCTGATGATCAGAGCCACAATCAGCTGCAGGTCTTGTTTTTGCTGACTGTATAGTGCTTCTCCATCTTTGGCTGCAGAGAACATAATCAATCTGATTTCAGTATTGCTCACCTGCTGATGTCCATGTGTAGAGTCGCCTCTTGTGTTGTTAGAAAATTAGAAAATGCCCGTACCTCTACTCAAAAGCAACAACAAAAATTTATCATTTCTGCAGAATTTTTTCAGGAGTTTTTAAACAGATTTTTAGAACAGGAACACTGATATTTTTTTAATGGAACAGACATAGATTTGTGGTGGATGTCTATCACAAGAAGCTTCCAGTCAGAAGCTTTTTGTTAGTACTACATCAGCTCTGAAACATAGCAATGGAAATTCAGCACAAAAGCTTATTTGGAAAAGAAACGCCTTCAAGATTTTTAAAAGACTTCTTAAAGAGAAGCCAATTGAGAAGTGAATTTTTAAAGAGAGGTTTGGACACAATCCCAATATATCCCACATTGATTTGACAACAAGTGCCAGAAAAGGCGATAGAACAAATGTGTATAGAGCAGGTTCCCTCCTCTTATCTCCTTTTTCTCTCTCTGTGTGTGTTTCACTCTATTCTCTCTCCTGCTCTTTTGCCTCACCCAGTAGCCTACTAAGGGAAGAGCAATGTGCTAATGCCACAAGTCTGAAATGATTTTTGTGCAGAGGGCTTCTGAAATTAAACCAAGACTACATGTGGTTCTGGGCTACAGGTTGATCACCCCAGCATTACAATCAACTAATGTTTTAGTATAATAGCCCTACCCAAATATAGGCACTTTTCATTTCTTAAGGACACATGTGCAACTCAGATGCAGCACAGACTTTTCAGTACTCATTAGCCCTATTCAGATGCTAGAATAGACACTTCATCAAGATATTTAGAGGGGACAGCCTAGCCTTGCCCCCATGCCGTCATCACTTTATTCATACAATGACAAAAAACGGTATGAGCAGGAGAGGTTCCTACAGCTTTAGGCTCTATATGCAAGAATTCCTTAGAATCATAGAATCATAGAAAGGTGAAATTGGAAAGGGCCTACAAGGCCATCAAGTCCAACCCCCTGTTCAGTGCAGGAATGCAATCAAAGCATCATCGTTGTTTAGTCTTTTAGTCATGTCCGACTCTTCGTGACCCCATGGACCAGAGCACGCCAGGCCCTCCTATCTTCCACTGCTTCCTGTAGTTGTGTCAGATTCATGTTGGTTGCTTCGATGACAATGCCCAACCATCTCATCCTCTGTTGTCCCCTTCCCCTCTTGCCGTCACATTTTCTTACCATCAGGGTCTTTTCCAGGGAGTCTTCTCTTCTCATGAGATGGCCAAAGTACTGGAGCCTCAGTTTCAGGATCTGTCCTTCCAGTGAGCACTCAAAGTTGATTTCCTTTAGAATTGATAGGTTTGTTCTCCTTGCAGTCCAGGGGACTCTCAATCAAAGCATATCTGCTGTAAAATGTGGGCTTTTTGTGTGTGTAGAATCTCCACATGCATAGGAGCAGCTCTTCAGATACTTTGATCATTGGCCAAAACCCTATTGCTTAGTTATGTCTGCAGAAGGCAAATAATGTAACTTTCTGTGTTTTCTTACTGACAATTAATAAGTCCCCACTGGGATTTTTAAACATGCCAGGATCCCAG